TATATTTCTACCTGATGTTCAGCCCCACCTACCCTCTCAGCTGTGTATGCATGTGTGTTTGTGTAGCTCTGGGACTATCACAAATTCCTTCCATCTAGCGGCCGTAATTCTCAGCACTATCCTGACCATGACTCCCATTCTACCTTTTCTGTCTCTCCTGTTAACTGTCCTATGGCAGGCTTGCAGCACCTTACCATATGGCATACATACCCCTGGGTGGTGGAGGCTGTGACACTAACAACCATGATGGTAGCGTTGGTCAGGATCTGCTGGAGGTTCTCATTGTTCTTGCACTTGTCCAGGCTGTTGCCCAGCTCCTGGGGTAGGAAGGGGAGAGAGAAACTGTTGTAACCCCAAAGACCCTAGAAGCTCTTTTCCTACAACACTAACAAAGGTCTCCCCTTGAGGAGGCTGGGAAAGCTAAGGTCCATATACTGGAGACCTCTCTTGCCTTTTAGTTTTACATCAGTGCTGCCTGCTCTGCTCTGCTAATACAGAAGTAGAGCCTGGGCAAAGCAGTCTCCAAGGAAGAGATGCTACACTAAAGAGCCCCTTCAAAAGCACACTTTCTTCTGCAGACTTCCTCTGCCACCATCCTGATCTCTTGGACAGAGGCAGGACCCCTGCTCTTTCACCTCCCCCCTCTCCCATCACTTCTAGAGGAGCCAACACCTTCCATGTCTAATGTCCTCTGACCTTTCTGACCTGTCCAAGCTTCCCTCCCTGCCCCTTCTGACTTCATCCTTGCTTGTTCCCACTCAGGGTCTCAGCTCTTATTCAGCTGTAGTCTCTGCCGGTTCAAAGTACACCTGCTCCAACTGCAGCCAGAGGTAATGGCCAGGTCGGTGGTTATCCTCTCACAAAACCAAGGGGAGGAGGGAAGCAAGGAATGAGTATCACACAACCATTCCAATATCTGTCCCTCACCACTGAGCCCATTCGTGGCTCTCCATGATTGCTAGACTTGAGGCTTCATGGTCTAGTGGGCCCAGTTCTTCCCAAGCCAGACTCTCTCCACTCACCTTGACTGTGCGGATGTAATCCAGAGCGTTGGGCACCAAGGATTCTAGCTCAGGAAATCTCTTCGAGTATTTATCCCGGATGAACTTATGGATAATGTCTAAATGGGACATCGAGGGCAGGTGTCCACTGAGGGGGAGGCAGACTCTGCTGCTATCCCCAACACCCACTTCCACCTCTAATAACTAACCCCAAATCATGCCTGGGTACATGGGTGCCAGCATGAAGTCTACATTTCCTAGCTGTCCCCGGTGTTTCGTGCAGGTGGGAGTTTGTTCTACAAAAGTCTACAGAATATGAACTGAAGTGATGATTTTCAATTTCCAGATCGTGGCCTTAAGGGAACAACCATACCCTCTCTTCCCTCCACATTTGCTGGTAGGGATGTGAGGAGTCATGCTGGAGCACGCAACTGGTAGCAGAATCTGGCTGCTGAAGGGTCAAAGGGTGACTTCAGACCTGCTCTGCTTATTCGAACTTTTATGAAGAAGGAGAATGCAATTTCTCTTTATGTAAGTTAGTCTGTTATGTAAGATGAACCTAATCAGGGGAGTATTTTTGCCCAAGAAAGGCAAACAAAAGAGGTCCAGGTTCATGCCTGTTCTTCCCTTTGGGTCATAAAGAGTGACGAGCACAGGATAAGGGTGTCTCTACGGCCCTTCGCACCACTCACTTAGCTCATTTTCGATCTCCACAGTCAGGTTGTTGGCATCCACAATGACTCGGTACTCAGGGGCTGCTTCCACTGGTCCCATCACTGCAAAGACAAAAAGGAGGGACAAAGCTGGAGACTGGGGCAGAGGTTGGATGCAATCAGAAAGGAGGAGCTGAGGGGATACATAAGGGGCGGAAGCACTCACTGGGGCTTGTAATACTCCCCAGGAACCTCATTCCTACCTCTCATCTTTCTCCTACAGTCTATCCTCTGGGCCAGTCTGGTCTTCACCTCATGTTGCTCCCAAACTAAACCTTCCTATGGTTCTCTGAAGCCTTGAGACTAGCTAGCAAGATCCACAGACGGCCATTCAAGGTCTCCCATACAGATGGAGGCCCATGTTCCCCACACCTGCACCCTTGGTGTACACAGCACAAGAGTCCTTTCAGTGAGATCCACTGACTCTACGGCAATATCCTTTCTGCTTTCGGCTTCATTCTCTCACTCCTGGCTATTTCATTTCTCCTGGCCTTCGTGCATACTGTTCCATCCCCCTGGAACATTCCTTCCTAAAGTCTGTTTCTAGAAACCACACTTTATGCATAGACAATTATATTGGCATTGAATCATGTGGCCTCAAATGTCCCTTTAGGTCATTAAAATTCAGAGGGCAGTGAGGACACCTCCTCCCACCCCTTTAGAAGGTCGACTCTCTCTGTAGGAACTAAGCCACCTGTGAGCCACCTGTGCTAGACATGCTTCGTGTTCTCCTTGCCCAGACTCATAAGACCTGACATTAGGAAATGTCACTTCCTGTGACCTTCTTTGGCTTTATGGAACAAGAAGCTTCTCAGCCTGTCACTTGGAATTCCTGTAGAAGCTGGCTGGGAGATTCCCAGCACTCAGTGACTTGGGACAGCCCTTGCTCCTTCCCCAGGGTTAGCACGAGTACTCAAATTCCAACGGGGGGCACTTTTTCCCTTACCCAATGCACAGTCAGTCGGTCCCTTCTGTAGGGGCTATAGAGTGAGCATGATTGCTTCTACCTCACACTCAGGAGGCTGAAAAAGGATGTTTGCTGAGAGTTCATGGCCACTATAGGCTACCTAGTAAAAGCCCTATAGTTCAGGGAACCCAGAGATAAGTCCTCTCACAACTAGAAAACACATAGGATAGCCGGGCAGTGGTGGCACACCTTTAATCCCAGCACTTGGGAGGCAGAGGCAGGCAGATTTCTGAGTTTGAGGAAGAAAGAAAGAAAATACATAGGGCTTAAGCATCAGTTTTATAGTGCAATATGTATATTTATTTTTCTCTCTTCCTTTTTTTAAACATAGGTGTTGTTTCACTTTCCTCTAAAAAGGTTTATGTGTGTTTTGCCCGATGTGTATAATGTATATATGATGCCCATGGAGACCAGAGCGTGTCAGAGCCCTAAGAGCTGGCGTTACAGATAGCTGTGACCCATGTGGATGCTAAGAAGCAAACCCAAGACCTCTGGAAGAGCAGCAAATACTCTTAACCATCTCTCCAACTCCATCAATGTACATATGTCTGAGACAGGGTTTTACCCAGGCTGACTCTGACCTCACTAAGTAGCCCAGGCTGGACTTGAACTCACTCATGCACCTGCTGCCTCAGCCTCCCAAGTGGTGAGATACAAGCACACATCATGCCTGGGTAGAATGCATTGTTTTCAGGGGGTCAGTAACTGGGTAACTGGGAAAAAAAAAAAGTGCTCTGAGGAAAGCTGAAGAGGGAGAGATGTTCGGTGTTAAAAACCACGAGGAGCAAAAGAGAATGGACAGAGGAAAGCGAGGGTGAGGGTGAGGAGGTACCTTCGGAAGCTTTGGCTTGCTTGCTGATATACTCCTCAATCTTCATCATGATCTCAGCAAACTGATGAGGAAGGAGAGCACAGTCAGAAACTAGCACTCTCAAATTAAGAATTGATCTTCCTTCCCCTCCCCCTCCTCCTCCTCCTCCTCGTCCTTTGCCTCAGAACACTGACTTAAAGGGTACCACCTCACCATCTTGCTATCCCATAGCTTGGCAATGCTCTTGACTGAATCTCCAGAAAGATCCAGCTGTGTCTCCTCCTGTACATCTTCAATTGCTGGCTCCTCCTCTTCTTCTCCATAGCTTCCTCCTTCCTCTTCTTCTGCTGCCTCCTCAAGGTCAGCCAAGAGCTCATCTGCCAGAGACATCCCAAGGCCTATAGGAAAGTGAGAATGGGGTTCCCTAATACTGCATCTTGACTCTGTCCAGTCATATCACCGAAGGTGTACCTTCTCCCCGATCCCCTCAAGTTTTTCCTTCATCAGCTCCGGTAGTCGCATGTAGGTCCACAGCTTGCTTAGTTCATGGAGGTTGTCTCCTGTTCTTACCCACACAGAACACAGCACGTCCCTCCAGGTACCACATGACCTGGCAACTTTTCTCCACACCTCTGGGTCTTTGTGCAACCAATTTACCTTTGCCTAACGCGTCTCTTTCCCTCACCCTGCCTTCAGTTTTCTCTTTCCACCCGTCTGGGCCACATGCCCCATTCCAGCCTAAAGTAAGTTATGTTGTGATCCACGCACGACCTACATATAAGTCCTAAGGCGCTTCATAAGTTTATTATTACTTAAATTATGATTTAAGTCGCCCACTACACTTTCTCCTCCGGACCCAGTAGCTTGGCTTCCCACTCTCCCTTCTCCAACCTACTCACCGTTTCGATGGTCCCACGATCGTTTCTAAGAAATCCGCTTCCCCAGAGCTTTCGGCGCTCTTTGATGACGTTTTACTTGCCGCCGATAAATCTGTATTTTGCTTGGCCGCTTCACGACATTTCCGGCAGTGTTTGGACAACAACTTTATTAGCAGCTGCCTCGTGGGACGGCGACAGGGAGAGCTGGGGTGTAGGGCTAGGGGAACTGAGAAACCTCCGTGGATTGAGCCTGCGAAACGGAGAATCGCTTTGGCTCGTCGACACTGCGACAAGACAGGAATAAAGAAGGTGACAACGTAAAAGATCGCTGGAGGCGCTAGATAAACCAAAGACTTCAAGCTGCAATTTGGAGTCGGGTGCAAACCAAGGCGGGATAGGAAACTATAATTCCCAGGTTTCCTTTGTCGCAAGGTCTGATGGGACAGGTAGTTTTGCACACGGCTCCACCTCTCTGAGGCTTGAGGTGTCTCCAGACCAGAGAAATGGAGTTGGAACAGAGAGAGGGGTGAGTAGCTGAGCTTCATGTAAACATCGACTCAAAAAACAGCAACGATCGACCTTTGTACTCTCAGGGTCGATGGGGATTGAAGTTCGTGCAGTTGCTTTCTTTTAGAATCTATGGGGGTACCGGAAGCAGTACTGGAGCATCCTAGGGGAGATTAGGAATTTGGTGTCCTGCCGGGCGGTGGTGGCGCACGCCTTTAATCCCAGCACTAGGGAGGCAGAGGCAGGAGGATTTCTGAGTTTGAGGCCAGCCTGGTCTACAGAGTGAGTTCCAGGACAGACAGAGCTATACAGAAAAAAAAAAAAAAAAAAAAAAGGAATTTGGTGTTCTCATGGATCTGAGAGCAAGGAGATTGGAGTGTGGGCTCCAAGGTCTGAGGGAGAAGGCTAGGGTCTGAATCCTGGGTCTTATACCTGGCAGTGACGGAGGAGTGACGGTCTGTGCTCATTGGTATTAGAGAGGAGGGCTAGAGTCTGGGCTGCTTGGTGTGATGGAGAGGGCTAGGATCTGGGCTCCAGGTTGGGGCCTGGACCTGAGTGTCTGGGGAGGGACTTGGAGAGCCAGAATGTAGGTTCCTGAAACTTCTTGACCTACAGGACCATGGCAGCCGTGGGCTTTGAAGAGTTCTCAGCGCCACCAGGCTCAGAGCTGGCTCTGCCTCCCCTGTTTGGTGGCCACATCCTAGAAAGTGAGCTAGAGACAGAAGTGGAATTTGTGTCCGGTGGTCTGGGTGATTCAGGACTCCGGGAGCGGGATGAAGAGGAAGAGGCCGCTCGGGGTCGCAGGCGTCGCCAACGAGAACTAAATCGAAGAAAGTACCAGGCACTAGGTCGGCGCTGCCGAGAGATCGAGCAGGTAGGTAAGTGTGGATTCCCGCTTGGGGGTCCTCTGGCCTGAACTTCCACTCTGCCGCCTGCGCCACTTTCTTCTTCTTTTTCTCCTCTCCCTCCTTCTCCTCCCTCCTCCCCCTCCTTCTTTTCCCGTTTCCTCTTGTACTTGAACAAATGAACAGATCCATGTGAGTCTAATTCTGTGCCAGGTACCCTAAGTGTTCTCTTCTAGAATATGTGTATTCATTACTTTTCTTGTTGTTACAAAATACCTGGGAAAAGCGTCTTGGGGGAAAGGCTTACTTCAGCTTACAGTTTAAGGATCCGTCATGACAGAGAAGACACAGTGTCAAGAGCATGAGACCCTTGGTTATGTTGCATCCATAGCGAGAAGCAGCAGGAGATGGATAGATGAATACCGGTACTCGGCTTGACTTTTCCTGACTCAGTTCCAGGTTCCAGCCCATGATATGATGCTGCCCACATTTAGAGTAGATCTTCCGATCTCAGTTTAACCAATCCGGAAACCCCCCACAGACGTGCACAGGGTCTTGTCTCTTAGGTGATTTTTATATCTTGACAAGTTGAGAAATCAGTAATAACCATCACAGCATCAGATACCTGGCTCTGATCTGGTACGTCACAGGTGACTCAGATACTTCACTCGCCACAGCCTCTCACCTAAGGCACCCCTAGGCTCACCTACTCTTCCCCTTGAACTTCACTTGGGTCCTTCTTTTCTCAGATAACTCATTACATGAGTCTTAACTAGACATGAGTCTCCCTAGTAAGAAGGAGGAAGGAACAGTGGGCAAGAATGTAGGTCTTAGGAAGGCAAGAACACCAGGCAAGGAGTGTGGAAGTTGTCCTTTGGATGAATGGGAGCTGGCAAGGGTTTTGAAAATAAAGCACATCCATGGGAGGTGGGTGGGAGACGGTAAGACACACCACACTTGCAGGGCCGGAGGCAGGTCTGAACGCTTCAAAGTCTCTGCAAATGACTGCCCAGTATGCTCAGGCTACTGTGACAAACTGTCACGAACTGGTGGGTAAAGAAGATATTCACTCCCTAACAGTTTTAGAGATGTGGTTAAGGTGTCAGCAGGGCTTATATGAACACGGACGGAGAAGCAGCACAGGCTTTCTTCCAAGCTTCTGCAGTTGCCGGGAGTCTTCAGTGTGCAGACGTGCTGTTCCATTTTGTGTCTTCATCTTCTCACAGCTTCTGTGGTGGGAGGGGGTGTCAGTGTCTCGGTTTCTCCTTTTCATGATGACAAAGGTCTAATGACCTTTGTTGAACAATTCACCAACGACCTCTGTTGAACCATGGCTACTTCTGGGATAATAACTCTGTTTTCAAAATACTCACTTTCTGAAGTGCTGGGTTAGGATTCCAACAAATCTTTATGGGTTTTGGGGGGTGACATCCTGTAACAAAGTGTGTACAAGTCCTGGAAAAGGAGAACCTGGGGATGAGGAGATTGGGAAGGGATTGTAAACATGTTTAGCAAGTGGGTACAAACTGTGAACTAACAGGGTTCAGAAAGGGGCATTGGGTCTTTTAGAGTTGGAGTTACAGGTGTTTGGAAGCTACCTAGGGTGGATGCTGAGATCTGAAAGCTGGTCTTCTGAGGGAGCAGCAAGCTCTCTCCTCTCTCTCCATATGTTATATGTGTTTATTTATGAGTACATATATGGGTTTGTATATATGTGTGTATATACAGTATACATACATACACATAAACACAGACACACAGACACATTTTATGTTTATGAGAAATTGCCTGCATGTATGTCTGTGCACCATGTGCGTGCTTGGTACCCACAGAGCCTGAACTAATGCATTAGATCCCTGGAATTATAGTTACAATTGATTGTTAGCCACTATGTGGATACTGTGAATTGAATCTAGGTCTTCTGGAAGAGCAACCAGTGGTCTTTATGGATGAGCCTTTTCTCCAGCACCAAAAATTCTCCAAGTAAGCATTCCTAAGTGCTGAACTGTTGCTCTATCCCCTGAGCTTCCATTCTTAATCCACCCCACTAAGATCAGATTCCACATGCAGAAACCCAAAGTTCAGTTGAGTAACTTTCAAGAATCCACACAGCAGAGCCTGGAAAATGCAGGTCTCTCTGATTAGAAAGAAAATATAGTCTAGCCTGTGCCCTAGGCACTGTTTGCCTGAGTCCTGTCCTTTCCTTTCCATGTCTAGGCTAGGGCCTTCAAAAACTTCAAGGGCTATTCCCTGATTCTAGAATATTCTCTTCCTGACTTGCTTCTAATTTGTCTCTTGCCTGTCATTCAGGTGTTGGCTTAAAGATCTTCTGATGGCCCTAATTTCAGTGTCCATCTTCTGGTCTAATACTTGACACGCAGATTGTTTGTATATGCCAAACACTTTGGTGCTTGTATTTACATTGCTGTGACCCCAGCACCCAACAGAAGCAACTTAAGGGAGAGAAGACTTATTTCAGTTCATGGTTTCAGCCCATCGTGGCAAAGATGCTTGGTGGAACGGCACCATCTGTGTCAGCAGGAACACGTGAAAGGGGCTTTTTACATCATCATAGTATATTAGGAAGCAGAGGGGGAGACAGGAAGCACAGACCAGGATAACCAGCCCTAGTAATTGATTTCTGCTAGGTAGACACCAATTCCTGAACTTTCCTAAGCATCCTACCAACAGCCAAGGGCCATGCTTTGAAAACTTGGGCCTATGAGGTGGTTGAATGAGAACAGCCCTCATAACCTCAGATGTTGGAATGCTTAATCTCCAGTTGGAGAACTACCTGGGAATGATTTTGATTTGTGACCTTATTGGAGTTGGTGTGTCTCTGGGGGTACAGTTTGAGGTTTCAAAAGCCACTGCCAGTCCCAGTCTCTTTCTGTGCCTGCTGTTTAGGGATCAGGATGTAAAGCAAGCTCTTAGCTACTGTTCCAGAGCTATGCCATGATGATTTTTTTTCCACCATGATGATTATGGATTAACCCTCTAAAACTATTAGCAAGCCCCTAGTTAAATGCTGTCTTTGATAAGATTTGCCTTGGTCATTCATGGTGTCTCTTCACAGCAATAGAACAGTTACTAAGAAAGAGGGAGACTTCAGATTGAAGGTGAAAAGTTGTGTAGTCTTTCATTCAGCATGGTTTGACTAAGGCATTACCAGGCAGGCTGTGCTAAGGCCTGGGGGACACAGACACATTGCTGTCACTGAAGAACTTATATTGTGGGTGGGTAGATGGTCAGCAAACCAAGTAAAGAAGATGTGAGTATTAAGGAAAATTAAAGGGGAGGCAGAGCTCTGCGAGTTCCAGGTCAACCATAGCTACATAATGAGATGCTGGATATAAATAAGTCAATAAACAAACAAATGAACAGAGTGAGTGGGTGGCCAGGGTTCTGGTTGGCAGTGTTCTCGGGAAGTATCACAATTAGGTGGGAGGCCTAAGATGACTTCTTGAGTTAGTGATGTTTTAACTTAAATATGACTGTGGCCAGGCGGTGGTGGCGCACGCCTTTAATCCCAGCACTTGGGAGGCAGAGGCAGGCGGATTTCTGAGTTCGAGGCCAGCCTGGTCTACAGAGTGAGTTCCAGGACAGCCAGGGCTACACAGAGAAACCCTGTCTCAAAAAACCAAAAAATAGATAAATAAATAAATAAATAAATTTGACTGTGGAGGGAATGTGAGCTAAAAATAAAGAGAGACCATGTGTAAAGATCATCC